TGCCATTTTATATTAATTTACTGAAAAGTGTACTTGAACTCAGGTGTGCTCAGTGAAAACTTTTATGGTCGACTTATCGCTGCACTACATTGAGGTATCGCAATGTTCAGTCAGATCGAGCACATTTGTTAAAGTTCGCTTGCGTATATGAGCTGAAGTGCTAATGGATACCATGGCTACGGTTTGCGCGACCTGTTTTGAGACGCATGCTAAGTACTTACTTCCGAGTTGTTTCTTTCTCTATTTTCATTCTCACATAATTTGGGTTTCTGGTATTAGCATGACGAGTTTTTTATTATCTCTAAAATTTTGATATCCATAGGCTTTTTTTTGTCAAGTTCAATGGAGGATGTATTATGTGGGTTACCGTGAAGAATAAGTTGTTTATTTTGACAAGTTTTCGTTAATTCTAATTTAAATTTTGAATATTTTGTTCCGTTGAAATGATTATTCCCAAGTTTTGCCGTTCGTTTTTTATCCAGTATTTCTTAGATTATCAACACAACAACATCCCAGCGCGGTTTTCGGAAGCAATCCAGAATTGCTGATAATTTTCTCGGAAAAGAAAATCGTGTGTGCCATAAGTTTGCTAGACAGTCATTGTGAGGAACTGCCAGTAGTACTAATTTTTTAAATACTGAAACTTTTGAATGTTTATGTTGTATTTCTGGTCCTATGACTCAAAATATGTAGCATTTTGATGGTATATTTGAATGACTTTACTATTTATGCTTTACTCCTACGATTCCAAATTTCTGCTCGAAGTTCGTGCCTTCAATTTGAAATTTTAAGAGGAAATTTAGAATACACTATTTAAACAGTTCATAGAGTGCAGCTTCCACTGTGTACAATGTCTCTCAGAGGACTGGTAAAAATTATAGACTAGCCATTGTTTCACGAGTGATTTTACCAGGGGCTTATGTGATGAATTATTGCCACGAAAAGCGCCGAGAACTCGACATTATTTCAATATAAATATTTGAATGTATTGTATGTTTCTTTTTCGAAGTGTGTGCTTTTGGGTTTGTAAATTTGTTAATGTTTGAAACCTGGAGCTGCAAATGTAAATATATGGGAGCTGTTTGGTCGGGTTTTCACGATACTTGTGGTGTCAGAGTATAACCTAGACGTGAAATTTTAATCATATCGGAGAATAGGAAGTGATTGCAAAACTTTGTGAAGGAAGGATAGGATTAAATATAGAATTTTAATTTTAAAATTGTATAGAATTTTTATTTAGAATCGGCAATTTTTTTGGTTTTATATATAGGTAATAGGAGTAAAATAGGAGTTCATTAATACATGTAAAATTCATTTTTGAATGAGTCATTCCTTAATTATCATAAATTGGTTTTATTCCTACTAACGGGATTCTGAATTAACAGGGATTATCGATACCGAGCAATTTATTTTTTTTATCTTTCAATCTTGTATTTATTTGTCTAAGTTTGTGTGTTTGACGCTTGCATCCTATAATATACCGGTATGTGGCTGCTCTGGTCCACGATTTTTAAACTGTCAGGATATTACCAAAAGAGGAAATTGGCTTCTTGGTGGGAGAATATTAAGGCTAAACTGGGAAGAAATGATTAGACCAAGAATTGAAATTTTGATTGAAATCGGTATTGGTATTTAATTGGTATTTAATTTGGAAAGAAGGAAACATTTTCTTATTTCGAAATGAATCATATAAGAGTTCTGTGCTCCATGTAAAATGTGCACTTGAATGTCTCATAAACTAGCACACATACACTTCATTATTATTTACGGGATTTGGAGTAGCGTGATTCTAAAATTGCAGTAATTTTGGAGAGCGGGTAACACCGGGTTTATCAGCTAGGCTAGGACTGATGAACATTTTTCAAATTTTGCGCTGATAGGTGAAAAGAGAGGAGGAAACGACAAAGTGAACACTACTAATGTCAAAAATGCTCAATGTTCAACACTGTTCATTCGTCCTTATGATTACTTTTTCTATTTGCTACTTTAATTCTTGCGGTCATGCGATATAAATACTTGAAGGGCGTATTTTGATCAAACTTGTGAGGATTTTTTTTCCTTCCTTCCTAAGTAGCAGTTCTTTACTTTCCAAACATATCAGACAAGCTCTGAATCTGAGTATAAGAGACACGCGAACTAATGCAGGTTTCTCAGCAGCAATAGTCACTATCGGGAAAATTTTTGACTGGGAGCGCCAGTTATATCAATTACCTGAACTAAATTGGTCAGCAGGCGCAAAATATATAGTGTAGGCTGCATGGGAGTCTATAGGAGCTTACCAGTCGCCCTTCCCCCACCTCCACGCTCGCTCTCCCCCTGACCGCCCGACCTGTTATCACCACCTATTTATCGACCGCAGTTCTCCGTATCTCAGCTACAGCGACTGCTCCACCCCTGCCAGCCGTTTGACTGCAACACCTAGCGCTTTGTGGGCTACATTATCGACCAGCCTTTCGGTTCAAATTCGACATTGGAACATAGGGATTAACGTCATTGAAGATTCTCAATGGATTTGTTGTTCGCTACGAAGCTAAGCGAAGCCTATATTTACCTTCTGAGACTAGAGTCCTTGCAGGTGGTACTGAAATTTGTGCGCCGCGGCCGCGCCAGGATTTCCAAGAGCTAGACGGTCGTCGAGCTCTCATTCGGACGACTTTAGTGTGGAATTATTTTCTTTGTCTCCCATCAGTGGCGTAGGTAGGCTTCATGCTCTTGATTTTGAAAACAGGACCTGTATTTTATTAAGACGTGTTTTGAGGGACTGCAGTAAGTTAGCTATATATGTTCTGTTCTCACTGTCAAATTGTAATCGAACTGCGTCCGTTTGTGGCTGTCTTTTGGTCGTCTATAATACAAGAAATTATTTTACGATGCTGTCAGAAATTTTGTATAAGCATATTTTTCTATTGATTGGTTGACGAGCAACGCCAAATTTACAGTTACCACAAATGTATACGTACCCAGAAATAAGGCAAAAAAAAAAAAACTTTGGTGCCGTTTCGAGGGGTATTGTTGCTGTTGCCATGCTTCTGCGTTACAGAAATGTTTGGTTTAGCGTCACATGATGCCAGAAAGCAATATAAACCGAACTTGATCAGAATCCGAACTTGATCATTGATTGAAAATTGCCAACGATCACTTTTTTACATTGTAAAAATTAACGGTGGAAACAACAAACGATGAGGGCTCAGAAAAGGGTTGGGCCAATTTAAAAATGTTATTCGTGCTATTTGTTTTAGTTTTCATTTGTGACTTGTACATTTTGAAGAGTGTGTCAATTTTAAAGATCGCATTTTACTTTGGTATGGCAGTGCAAATAGGTGTCCCTGTAATTTCTGACAGCGGAAAAAATGTTAACTTAAGAGTGTATACTCTAATTAAATATATGGTTATGCGCTCTAAGTGATCTCCTAATTTTTTTATACGTATTTATTGTAAATTACATCTCTTGGCTTTAGAAGACTTTAATTCTAAACAAAATATTTTTACGAACACGGAGGCCTTGGGATGATTCTCTGTCTAAATCGTAGCATTGAAAGTGTTGATCTATATCAGGATTTAGAAGTGCTCGAGGTTAGTGTCGTACATGCCGAACAAAAAGGATTTTTGTATGTAACCTTGGACTCGATATTTGTAGAGATTTTGATATTGACTATTTAGGATTTATTCCTTTATTTGATGAAATAGTTGCAGAGTGCCAAGGTTGCCCCCAAGAAGTAAATTTACAAGTTGTTTCCGATATGGTCATCAGCCTATTTGTCTAATTGATTTTCATTCAAAAGAAGTCTATCTATTATATTATTTCATCACACTTGTCTAAAATTACGATTGTTTTGAAGTTTTCAGCTTCGGAATCTTATATTCCTGGTCGTCTGATCAAAGTCTTATCAGTCGGTTGTCTTTAGATTTGGTTCTTGCCGTGCTTGTTTCATGATTGATTTCAACTATCTAATATTGTTTAAATTCTTGCCCTGCTTCCTTTTTCTCATTTAATACCTGTCAGACGTTGAATACTTAACTGACTTCAATCTCCTGTCTAAATCCTTACGTCTAACTTTCGCTTTTCCGAGTCTCATCGCTCGATATGTTCTTAAAGACTTGTCTGTCTCCAATTAGGATTTTTGTGTGACTTTCAGCATCATTCAGATGATTTTTATATATATTTTTTGATTATATATTTTATTTTTTCGGATGACGATTTTTTCACTATATTTAAGTTGATATAGGCTCGATTTTGAACGATTTAAAGAAGAGCCTCCAACTTGGGGTGCTACTTTTCATGACTACTAATTCCATAGTTGACCTCACAGGTTCGCAGATAGATAAAGGCCAACATAAGCGAGTTGTCAGTATTATGTCTATATAATTCATATTTTGGACCAAGTACGCGATTAACCTGTAGTCCTTTTGTTGCAGGTTCAGCGATGGATCATTTCTTGATTAACATTTAATTGTGACAGTATTGGTTCATTACGTGATTAACCTGTCGTGGTTTTATTGCAGGTTCATTACGTGATTAACCTGTAGTGGTTTTATTGCAGGTTCAGTACATAATTAACCTGTACTTATATTATTAGTCTGCTTATATCGCAAGTTCACAAGGAATTTAAAAGCAAAGAAAACGCCAAGGAAATTCACCATCTCGATATTGAAAGTCCAGCTCCATCATCATATATGATGCAGCTGGACTCCGAAACGTTTTCAATATCGATATGGTGAATTTTCTTGGCGTTTTCTAATTTCTTTGCTTTTAAATTCCTTATATAATTAACCTATAGTCATGTTGTTAAAGTTTGATTACGTGATTAACCTGTAGTGGATTTGTTGCGGGTTCATTACGCAATTAATTTGTAGTCGTTTTATTGAAGGCTCAGTACGTTATTAACCAGTAATGGTTTTGTTGCAGGCTCAGTACGTTATTAACCTTTAATGGTTTTGTTGCAGGCTCAGTACGTTATTAATCTATGCCACGTAATTAACCTGTAGTGGTTATGTTGCAGGTTCAGTGATGGGTCAACATGAGCGGGTCGTCCTCCCAGCAAGCTGCTCCGCAGGTCCCCATTACCACGCTAGCGGGCATCGCGAGCCTTACTGACTGTGAGTCTTTACTTAACAAATTGTAATTATTTATAATATAAAGTTATTCCTAATTAAACCCCCTCATTAATCAAGAAGTTGATCTTAATTAAGGTAAGATGTTCTTACTTATGCCGCCCATTTATTAAGAAGCTTTTCATTAACGAAAGTTTTAATTTAAACAGGAAAATACATTTATTCTTCTTAGTTTTTTTATTATTACGGTGTTTTTCAGAGTCAGCTGAAAACATCGTTCGACCCATTGAAAAAAAATGAAAATTAATAAAATGTACCTATTCGCTGGTATTCGATCAAGCTTAAAATAAAGAACAATTCCAAACAAACTGAACTATTAATAATGAATTACTAACACATTTGCGTTTTCTTGATTGATTTTTTATTGGTCAATGGCACATGTACGCATAAGTATTGTTCACAGTTGAGACTGTATGACTGATGCTACAGAAGATCTTTCAAGTTGTAACACAATAAAAAATGTGTGTTGGCCGTATGGATGTGCTAAGACCATTACTGACTAGACTGCGTTAACCTAACAGGCATTAAGTTCAAATTACACGCATTTAACCGCTCACTATGGTTTGTCTCCTGGCAATTGGCATTGTAATCCATTGGCTTTGTTGCAACTCAAAGGATAAGTTTTCAATCGCATTAAATTTGTTCATAGAGCGGGGACGGATGCGGTCGTACGCGATTCATTCTTTGCATTGTCTATCGTCGTGGATTTAGTCGTGGTTTTATATATGAACTGCGTTTATTTATAGTGCAGTGCATAGTGGTCTTGAACTGCTATTGTTATGGAATATCTGAGATGCACAGCGTCGCTGTATCAAGTGCGGTTCTTTCCATTCAGAGCACGCTGCTCATTGCATTCATCGATTGCGTGTAATATGGTTTCAACTTTGATTTTAATTCGATTTCTTCGTTATGTAGTATAGTATTTTTCTGGTCTTGAAATCAGTTTCGTCCGCGGATGGTCAAGGAAAATTGCGTCTTATTCCTATTAGGTAATAAAATATTTTGTCGTTGGTTTGGTAGATTGATTGGAAGTTTTTGTAAGCAAATGCGTTTGTTGTGTCTGCTGACGTCGACAGCCGTACAGACGCTCCGCCCACAAGTATGCCATGCCTCTCTGAAGCTCCGCCCTTCGCTCAAACGTTTCTCGGTCACAAGTTTGCCGCTTTTGCGTCACACAACACAGCTCAGCTGAAATGCTATCTCTGTCAGCTGTTCAGCTGTGACAGCTGAACAAATGAGGCAGTGAGTCTAGCCAACTGGGCTCGAATTGTTCAAGGTTCGTGCGGTATTTTTAAAGATCAATTTGCAGTCAGCATCATTTGAAACTGTTAGTGGTTCGTCGCTCAATAGAAGAAGAAGAATTTCCGTTTCATTGACAACTAATGTCAGTTTTTTAGTATGAAATTTATATTATTTGCTAACGCCCGATTTTTCAGTATATGCGAGATAGTAGAAATGATTTCTATCACAGAGACATTTTTTTCGGCTATTAGTAACTTTACGCAAAATTTATGAACATAACTTTTTTACTGTACATTATGTATATAAATTTTCACTATTTTTTTGAAACGATCAAACACATCTTTACTATCTTCGTGTCGGAAAATACTACGTCGAAAATCATGTAGCTGAATGTTACGCCGGGAGGCCTGGACAGAGCGCGTAGTAATACAGCTTTGGTTTGTACGCGACACTCACTCTGAGCCTCTGTTGGCTTCACGTGCTCCACGCTTTTTTTACTAGCATTGATATCGTCGTATAAAGTTCTTGAGTAGTTATTTTAATATGATATAACAGCGTTGGATGAAATATTACAGGGTGCTCCTGTTTTGAACCGTTCGCATTACGACGCTTAATCTATGGTAGCTCATCATTGTATACAAGGTCGTTTGTTGTGCGCTTACTTTGAATAAATTTCGAGTGGTTTTGAATTCCAGCTCAATATTGCGGTTAATGAAATACGAATAGTTCGTTTTAAATATATTTGCGAAACATCGCATGAATTGCATGAAACGCACTCCATTATTTATTTGAAAAGTTGTTTTGCATCTTAAAGCTAAGTACGACCAAAAAACGAAATGAAAGGAACCATCTAGTTACAGGAGAAGAATTCTATATATCCCGGTTCCCACAAACTATTTGTTATTAATATTATTAATTATTTATACATTCAAATTAGTTATGACATTCAAATTTATTTTGAACAAGAGTAAGAATCATGTGAATGGTAAACAGTGCAACTTTGGATCAATTTTTTCTTTGTGCGTTCCGGAGGCAACGGATCGTTGCTGACGCACACAGCTTTTTACCTGACTTTTACGAATTAGGTTATGACTCGTACAAACATTTTTTAATTGATTTTGCTATGCTCAGTAAAATATTCAAGTATTCAATTGTGATCATACAATATTTTCTTGCCGATGATATATCTATCTGGTAGAATTACTCCTTTTTACACAAGCCTTCTGTGTGCGCGCTGAATTTGTTTGTGTAAAAATGTGAATATTTGTCTGATATTTCAGATTAAATTGTTTTCCTTTGCTGAAAGCAGTAAAACACGGGCATCGCGGAAACCAAGATTTTGGTTTCATTTGAATTTTACCTACGAAACTTGAGGCTTTGAAAATCAAACACTGACAGTGTTTGATCAGTTTCAAGTTATTGCATAGTTTTCACAGTGATCACTTTCAAGTTTTTGCATAGTTTTCCCTGAATGTGACAAATAAGGTTTCTATTTTATATCAAAGCACACACCAGATGTTTGAATGGAAATGCAACCAGCATTAGAACGTTTGAACCACCTCGCTTTTTGGTTAGAGGAGCGGGTAAGCTGACGGCATAAATCTCGAGGGAAACCTATGGAAGAAAAATCAATTAGCATATTATTGCATTTGTATCAGGCAACTTTTCTCGTTCTGAATGTGTTGTGAGAGCCCTTCAACAAATTTACAGCTATGTTAACGAATGTTTAAGGATAGTAGATTTATTGATTGTCGACACTGTCGGGCAAGATAGCACACCTGTCGAATCATCTGATAACCAAGCGATGTTCACATTTCTTACTGAATCTAATTCCAAAGAATCGTTTATAATGCCAAGGGGTCCCTCCCTCTCGGCCAGTCATGTTCTTGATTTCTTGTACACCGCACTTAGTGGGAAGCATATATTTTTAATCACTGAAATTTCATATTAGTAAAATTCAATTGCACTCAGTTGGTAAATTTCCAAGTTTAATGTCATTCAGTGATCTAATATTTTTTCCATGGTTTTAACTGAAGCGATATTGCTTTGCGAGCGAGCTGAAATTGAGCAGCACTACCCTCTATTCTTTGGGGCGTCTGAACACAGACTGATGGCAGGAACGTTTACAAACGTGCTGCTGGTAACCGGCTGCCAGATGTCGCCAGAAAATTTTACTCAGGCCGTACTCCAAACTTTTCTTGATATTTATTGAATTCCCAGTTATGATGTAAGGTTTCCTATTGTCGATGGATTTAATAAATTACTGCGATGTTAATCAGCTAACATAGTATTTCAGTTTGTCTTAGATTAGATCCAATTGTTTATTTTATTTGTTGTGATAATGTTATTTTCGGCGATGGTGCTGCCATCTATGAAGGCTTCAGCGAAGCTTGACACCACATGTTCACCTTGTCGACGCGAGGTGGCAGCACTGACGGGCGCCAGCTTTGGCGGGAAAACGCCTCAGCTGATCGTCCTGTGTCGATCGTTTGTTGAAACGTGTCTTCAAAACGTTTAGGGATTGTTTCTTTGATGAGCGTGTTCATAGACGAAGAATCTCAGCCAGAATGAGTCTCTGTGCATTTGTTATGGCGCTTTGTTCATGTATCGAGGCAAGATCTCCTTTGTTTGGGAATTAAAATTTCGAAGTATTTCGTTTTAAGGAATACAAATCATTGTTGAGTGTCAATATTGCCAGGGGGAAGATTATAGATTGAATATTGCTTCTACCGTAATGTTTTCATTCGGCTCAGTTCGGAAAATTTATTGCAGTATATTATTTTGCAAGATTGTTGTTAATTTTATTGTTTTAATGTAGGGAATAATTAAAATGTTACGTGATGACGATAGCCACGAGACAACCACGATAGCCACGAGATATATTTTGGCCACGAGACAACCGAAAAATCGCCAGTGTTGTCTACTTACCTTGACGCATGAGAATGTCTTACCGTAGTTGGCCAGTTAAACCATATATGATTTTAAACCCACTACCATATTTGTTCGCCAGTTAAATGCGACACCGAGAAAAAAGGGCATGTGTAGGGAAAGTGTTCATATGGTTACAGTAGAGAACAACTCTGTCATTCAGACAAGTCGTTATGAGGACTTGTTTTATTATTTAATATCTGCAAATAAGAATGTTTATCTACTCTATAACACAAATATGTATAAAAATAAAATAATAATGTACAACGCGCATATAGTCAAATGGGGTAAGACAGGATCGCAGCCTTCATGGGGTAAGAAAGGACCGGCCCATGGCGTGCATTCTAACTGCACTGAATTTAATTTGATGAAAGAATATGTTAGAGCAATCATTGCCAGTCATTTCAGTGTTTGTTTCAACCCTGTTCTGCAAATAATGAATTTTTGGTTAATTTTTAAAGAAAACCTATGTAAAGAAGGGTCACAAAATAGTTAACCCTATTTGGGAAATAAGCTCTGTCTGATTACAAAAAATTTTTTGGCCAGGTTTGTGG